TGGCACGGTGGGCAGGATAATGGGAAAAATTAGGTGCTTGTCCATAGGGCTATAGGCTCTGTCACCTCGGAAACAGAGGGCTGTCTTCTCCTGTGCTCATCTCCGTGATGTCCAGGTACCTCCAGGAACGGTAAGGATGTTCCCAGAGGGTTGTCTTGCGAGGAACGAAGGGAGAAGGGTTGCTGATTTCTCTCCACAAAGAAGGGACATCTGTTCCTGCTTAGTGTCAGCACCGCCAACCTCCCTTCTGCGAAGGAATCGCAGCTTTTCCCCAGCCCTCCAGTTCTGCAACACCACTCTCATGTTCTCCCTTCCATTTCAGAAGGTCATCTGACAGCAACGCTGGGCCAAGCTGTATGCTGGTGTAACTTCCCTGATCTCCAGAAATGCAAGAAGTTGAAGCGTTTTCTTTAGGTTTTTTTTTTTTGTTTTTGTTTTTTTCTCCAGAGCAAGGGGAGTTCACTTAATTCATGAGCTTATATCAGCTTGGGCTTGGATGCCAGCATGCATCTGCATGTCTAGGCAGAGCTTCTCCAGACTGTCTAAAAGCTGTGAGCTTACAGAAACTGTGTACTAAGAGCATATTCTAATTCTGTATTTACATTAGACACCACTCCCAATTATTAGCTGTCAGTTGTGCTTTCCAGTTAGTGAGCAAGGGAGGCTCAGCTTAGCACGTTCACGCTTCCCATCGGAACTGAGTATGCTCTTTTAATGGGCTCCCTGGCCTCTACTAAGTGTATTTGTTGTTGCTAACCAGATGAACAAATCTCAGTGTATTTTGTTGCTGCTTTCTTGCATAAATCAGGAAGAGCAAGGAGAGCTTTGTCTGATGCCCTGAATTAGAAGAAGGGCATGACAGCAAAGTGAGCGTGAAAGGAGGGCCAGAGGAAGCAAGGCAGCCTGCCTGGCTTGCCTTGCATTTAATGCACCCATTAAAATCAAAGATGCCTTCACTTGCTGAGACTGTACAAGACAACGTCTAATCGGACGGCATGGCTCTGCGGAGGTTTATGCGTTCTGCCCCTGACAGCTGTACCTGGTGGAAGCCAGCCGAATTTCTCACCCTTTGGAGGTAAAAGGGCACCTATGCCATGCAAATATCACGGTGATAACGCAAAGCAGCAGCGCCGCCCGAGGAGCCCACGGCAGCCCATCAGGCCGGGTGCACCTCACGTGCTCTGGGAGGAGGAGCAGCAAAAGGTCCTCACGGGACCCAACCGGCCGGCTGACCGGCCGCTCTAAATATCAGAGTGTCCTTAAAGGTTTGTCCCGTGCACGGATGCAGTCTAGCGTCGCTAGCCTCACGGCAGCAAGTCTAGGGGTGTCCATCAGAGCACTTCCCGGAGCCCCTTCCCTGCTCCTTCTCGTGGCACGTCCTGCTCTTTTGGAGATGTGCTACGGGAGAGACGGTAAAGTTTCCATGACTCTGGTATCATGCGTCTATCATAAAAACCGTGATGCAGAGACGGCCTGTGTGCATTCATCACTACCTTTTCATTATCTTTAATTAAATTCCAATATCACGCCACAGTATTTCAGCCACTTTCATTACTTTCTTTATAGGCAGCAACAGAAAAAAGCAATTACTGTACATCACTGCCTTGCCAAAATAAATTTTCAAGTCGACACTTGATTTTGCTTTTTTAGGCTGCAAGTATGTAAGGAACCTCCTTCCCCAGCAAATATCCCGAGGACCCAGATCCTGATCCTGCCGAAGGCGGTGGCAACGCTCCAGCTCGTTTGCCTGGTGCCAGCTACGACTTGGCAGAGACAGGAGGGAGGAGAAAAATGTGTAGGGGGGGTGGCAGGTGGCTGAGAAAGACACTTTTCTCCTCATGAATGCCCCTATACGTGTCAAAAGTCGGCACAGCCTGGCCCGAGCGAGGGCAAGAGGAGCTCGACCTCCCTGCTTGCTCCAGCCCGGCAGCCTCATGCGAGGGCAGAGTGCCCCCAAAGTGAGCAGGCAGTGGGACTGGCTGGCCCAAGAAGCTGAGGCTGCTTTTGCCCCTCGCCCTCTCTATTTCTCCCTTTTCCCTCGGCCTTTCCCCTCTCCGGAGATGGGCACCAGCTCTCTCCCGGCGCTATTCTCTCTCTGAGGGGAGAGGGGTTCCTGACCTCCCCAACATGGCGGAACCAGCGACCCCCGCCTTCACAAGATGGCGGGTGGCGGGATCCGGGGGGTG